TCGATTAATCACTGATTTTTTTTCGATTTTTTTTTTGACTAATCAGATCATACATTAATTGAATATAAAACATAGAGCTTATCACACCAGAATGCAGCTGCTATTATATAACCATGGTTAGATTTTAGCTATATGCTAACTAAAAATAATTGCTGTGGAAGGTAAGTTCTGCTCTGCAGATATTACACAGGTTTCTCTTAACTCAGGGCCAAGCATTGGCCCAAGTAGTGCAAAGCGGTCTCTAATTCAATGCCACAGGCATCAAGCAGATCATCTTCATGGAGTCCCATCACCATTTTATGGCAGTTGAGCAGATCGCTTCATTGAAACCATGACGAAAGATCGAAGACCCCCTGAGAAGACCACGTCTCAGCTGGCCTGGGAGCAGCTCAGGGTCCTCAGAGAAATCTGAGCCTCAGCGCTCAGACTCTGAAACAAGCAGCAGATTATAGAAGGATGTATTTAATACATCTGAGTGACTTTCCAAAATCATTCAAACAGAAGCAACAGAAATAAGTTTTGTTCTGGAGAATTTATTAAAAAATTTAATACAAAAATTCCTGTAGAAACCTGGAGCCGACAGATGGATTCAGTGTCCTGTTTGAGTTTACAGGTCATCTGTGGTTGATGTTCCACAACACAGTTTGATGTCAGCGGAGCGTCCTGATTGGATAAACGAGGACTACTACAGAAGGACATTTGAGCAAATAGGTTCACAGGATTTGAAAGAAAAAAATAAATCTGAATTTTTGGTTCTGAAGTTTGTTTGAATCAAACTTAAAAAAAATACTTAAAGTAAGCTTCAAATTCAAAACCAAGATTTGTCCTTTCGGCTCAAAGTTTAACAATCACTCAAAATGAGATAAAGTGTCTTCTTGTCCAAAATCAAACTCAAGTTTGGATTAACGGTGCAGAAAGTTTTAGAGTTAAAACTCAACTTTACAAAAACTGAAAAAGCAAAAAATACTGATTGTGATTCAGTCCAACACCCTGTGGTCCCACCTGGATCAGAGTCCCATCAGGTCATAAAATCATCATCATCACACAAACTGTCCAGCTTTAAAACTCCACTCAGGCTCCTCCCACAAGCTGCTGGAGGGTGGAGCTTAAATCCAGAGAAGGCCAATCAACAGAAAACCTCCAGGGTGTTGGACGGCACCCTGCAGTCCCACCATCAGGGTCTGATCGGGGTCTCGTCAGGCCGTAAGCTTTAGTCGTCCTGCACAGAGAGAAAAATATAAAATTTAGACACGTTTTACTTTGTCCAACAATCTTGACTGACAGCAGACATTTAGTGACGTCACAACATGTTTGTGTTTAACAGCAACAGCAACACATGAGCTGAAACATACCTGTCCTCACTGTCTCTGTTGGGACCTCAGAAACCAGACCAGAACTGGTTTCAGTCTAAAAACTGGACTAAACAGGTTATCTGAACCTGCATTCTATCTCACGGCCAGCAGGGGGCGACTGATGAACTCTTTAATGACCTCAGATGTTTTACAAAAAGATTTTCTTTGACTTTATTTCCTGTCAGACAGAATGAAGCTGAAACTTTAACAGCATGGATATTAGATCCATTTGGATTTTGTACATTTTGTTTTTTCTATCTAACTTGTTCCACAATTTGTGTTATTTCAACAAAACATTCAGCTCATTTCTGCCACGGTGTTATTACATTTGGTATTTCAGCAAGGTAGATTTTTTTCAGCTATTTTGCTTCTTTGGCTGCTTTTTCTTGTTACAAATAAAAGGTAGCCATCTTTAAAATCCTTAAAACCTTTAGAAAACTCTAATTTAGCTTTTTTGTGCTAATTTCAGCCTTCTTCGGCTTCTTTTTTGGCTACTATTTCCCCCTGCTATTTCAGCTACCTTTCTGCAATTCTACTTATTTCATCTTTTGTGTTTTTTTCCCTGATTTTATACTAATTTAAGCAGTTTTTAATTGATTTCAGCTAATTTTAGCTTTTTTCCTAACTTCAGTTTTTTGCGATAATTTCAGCTTCTTACTGCTTAATTCAGCAAACATTATGCTCCTTTTTTAAGGGCCTCTCACATTGTCACGTTTTAGACAACTTATGACTTTTTTATGAGTAAATAACAAATAACTCGTGGGTTTTACGTTTAATCTAACCTTTTATTCAATCTTCAGTGTCAGACAATATTTTCACAAGTTGTCTGGAACATTATTGTGTGACAGAGGCTTTAGCTATTTGATCACAAACTGCACCTTTATGTTTTTCTGCTAATTTGATATTTTTACTTTCCTTTAACCATCTGTCAAAATTCGACTTATTTCAGCTCCGTTCAGCTTTTTGGACACTTTTTTTTTGTTCCTACTGATTTTTCACTTGGTTTTTTTCCTACTTTCAGCAAAGGTCAGTTGTTCAAATTGGACTCACATTAACAGTTTTTTTTTTAAATTAAACATTTTCAGCAGAAACTTTAAAAAACGTCTCTAGTTAAGTTTCAATAATAAAACAATTGTTAGTTTTTACCATTTTTAATGTTTCACAACATTTAGATGTTCTGTTACAAGATATCAGTTTCATTCTGTCATACATTAAATGAAATAAAAGGAAATAAAAATGACAAAAACACACCTGTTTTTTTTATTTTAGTGAAGTTTGAAATGGTCCATGGTGTATTAATTTATACAGCACATTCAAAACAACAACAGCTGACCAAAGCAGTTTAATCATTAAAACAAAAGTCAAAATAAAATGATTGAAATGGTGACTGATGATTGAATTTAAATGTTATTTCCTGGTTAAAGAGCAAAGATTAAATAAAACGATGAACATTTTCAGCTCCTGTTTAAAGTGAAGCCCCAGCAGCAGCTGTGAGTCCGGCCTGCAGCGAGGTCAGAACTAAAAATATATCCAGAGGCAAACATCTGGAGAATATTAACTGAGGTGTGTGTTTCTGTTAATCAGACAAACGGCTCATTTGTTTATACTTAAACCACAGCCAGCCACTGGGGCACGTGTTAAACTCAAGGCCCGCAGGCCAGATGTGGCCCACGGTTGACTTCTGTCTGCCCCCCAAAAAAATTACTTAATTTAATTTGAAAATAGTTTTTATATCAAAACTGAACTTTATATTTATGCAATTAATGCAACAAAATAAATTTAAAAGGTGAAAGGTAATAAAACTAGTCAGGCCCCTGAGTTATTTAGTGGAATAGCCCTAAAGCCAGCGTTGACCATAAACTACATCTCCCATAATGCATGTTGGTTATACGTGGGAATTCCCTGTTGGAAAGTGGGAAAGTTCAAAATTCAAGACTCACCACAACTCAATGGTGAGTAAAACATTTACTTTTACTAGTATTTATGTTTTATTTATTTCACATTTACTCAGTCGTACACGTAGTACTATTAGTGTTTATAAGAAGTGTTAAAACACTGTTTCTATGCAGGAAACACCAGGTAGAGCTCAGTTAGTGTTTGTTAGCAGAGCTCAGCTGCAGCAACGAGACGAGGAACGTGATGTATCCTGTTTAGTCGAAGTTAAACTCGAAACATTGAAGTTAATTAAAACTGTCTGACCATAACCCTCAATTTACATTACACGCGTCTCCGCTGCGCTGCGCTGCGCAGGCCGCAGCTGTTCGTTTGTGTCTCAATTCATACAGCCTCCGCTCCGCTCCGGTCTGACAAGAGAGTGAAGGAAGGAGATCGCGCAATAAATTCAGTGATAACAGCAAAAAATAATTAATTCTGTGAAAGACAAACTCCAAACACAGCTGAAAACAACGATATAAAGGCTTCTGGTATCTATGATGAAACTGTCTCGCTGTCGGCTTTCTGAAACTTCTGATTTCAAAATAAAATCCACGTGTATCATGTGTGTACACATATGCTTCATGCTACATGTTTCCATCTGCTTCCCAAACAGAACCATACATTCTGACAGCATTTGTGTAGAAATATATCCGTATATTTATTAATATAGCTGCAATTTCAACATTATTCCAACAAATTATTTCACTGAATAGTGTCTTATTTTGAAAATACGGATGTTGTGCTCGTTAGGATCGAATCTAATTTTGACGGATCACCGTCCGCTCGCCGCCGCCGTGCGCAGCCAGTGTAAACACTCATTGATTATAATGGGTGTGTGTTTGCTGCGGAGGTCGGACCGGAGCGGAGACGGAACGCAAGTAGTGTAAATTGGGGGTAACACTCGTGGCCCTCAGTGTAAAGGAGTGCGACCCCCCTGCCTTAAGGGGGGCTCATTTGGTTGATGTGCCTCTTTGTTAATAATCATCACGTCTCCTGCAAACACATCGACCTCCTGAAAAGGTTTAGTTTAAAAACCTTCGGGAAGCTCTTGTTGTGTTTTCAGATTCATCAGAGCAGAACAATCCCACAATCCTTTGCTCTTCAACAGGACACACAGCTGGGTCTGAGCAGCCACGATGAGGGGAGGGGGTGGGGGGCACACCTCACAACACCCACACACTGAGCTCACAAGAACAACTGATGGACGCCTGAGCTCCAGGTGCTTCATCAGCTCAAACCGGTCCAGAACCTCCTCAGCAGGGTTCTGAGCCCGCCTCTGTGCCGACACCGATCACAGCGATGAAACGTGGAGCTGCTCAGCTTGTGGGATCAGTGGGCCCTGCTCACAGGTCTACAGGTGCACAAACACAGGCTGGGGGTGGGGCATCATGCCATGCTGGGTGCTTCATGCCAAGGCGTCCACCAATCAGCACACAAAGCCCCACCTACCTGCCCACTGTCCCCCACCAGCGGGTCGGTTAGGTCTACCTGTCGGTCTGCAAACCAACCAATCAGAGCACAGAGTGAGGACACAGAGGAGGAAGGACAGGCGGGCGCCGGGACTCCTCCGTCGCTCGGACAGCTCCGCCCCGCGGGGTTCAGGAGGCGCGCCTCAGAAGGCCTACATCTCCCAGAATGCAGTGCTGCTGCCAGGAAAACGTTTGTTTAGAAGAGGAAGACTGACTGACTGACGGGTCCAACTAACAGTTAAAACGTCACTTTGTTTAACAAGTACTGATCTTAGAGGGAAAAACATGAAGACAGACATGAAGAAACAGAAATGTGGTAAATAAATGTCTGATAAGAGCTTAAAGAACAGCATTTAGCTGGAAAAAAAACAGATTTAATACATTAAAAGTCTCATTTCCCCTTACAACCCCAGACGAGACCTCCACTCACAGGATCAACACCTCCTTATGGTTCCCCTCACTCCCTTTAAGACCCGTGGGGACCGGTCCTTCTCCTCTGTGGCCCCCAGGCTCTGGAATAAACTCTCTTTAATCTGCGCATTGTCTCTTTCAAATCACTCCTAAAAACTCACTTTTTCTCTGAAGCGTTTAGCTAACCATTCACCATTACTGCAGGCCTACCTCCATGGTGAACGCTCATCAATCTGTGTTTTTTATTATTGAACTTACACCATATTTTTATCTCCCACATTCATTATGTTTTTGTGTATTATTGTATATTTTGCTCTGCATTGACCTTGTTTGATTTAAAATCTTAGATTTTTTTCTTGATTTGATGTTTAAATTTTCTTTGCTTGTGTTTAATGATGTTTTTCTGTTTCATTTTATTTTTTGCTTGCTTGGACCAACTTTTCCAGTTGGTCAAAGTTCAGACGGCAGAAACATTTTGTTTGTCACGTCAACTTCACACAAAGTATCGGTGCAAACAACCGCCAATTACTCCAACACAGAAAACATTAGCCTATCAGAAACTGGACGGATGGATGGATGGATGGACGGATGGATGGATGGATGGATGGATGGATGGATGGATGGATGGATGGATGAAGTTCTATCTTCTCTTCTTTTCCTGAAAACCTCTGACTTTAAATCCAGCTGTCTTCAGAGCGTTTCTGCTGACTCAGCAGTAATTGGATGACTCAGCAGAACTGCAGACAGGTTTCCTCACATTTAACCTGTTTTTGTCTGGTTTTAGTTTCATAACAACTTGTTTTATGATTTTAGAGATCTTTCTGTGTTGAGTCTGTTTTTGATTTAAACTTAAGAGCTGAATAAAAGTTGTTTTATTTTATGAATGGCTGACAGCAGCTGAACGGTTAAAGCTGTAGGAAAAGATCTGTTGTGTGTGTGTGTGTGTGTGTGTGTGTGTGTGTGTGTGTATGTGTGTGTTTGTAAACCTGTGTGTACCTGTGGAGAGCTGCGACTGGGACCTCCTGCGGGAGCTGCTGGGGGTCCTGGAGGCCGACGACACGGTGGATCCAGTGCTGCTGGCCCGAGAGATGGGGAGGGGAACCGGGGTCACTGGGGGGGAGTCCAGCTGAAGAAAGGTCAAAGGTCAACAAGCAGGAAAACACAATTTTATAGAAATTTTGATGTGAAATCTTAAAATAGACTCACACAGCTTTTAGGAACAAACGGTTTCATTTTTCCTTGGTGAAGTTCAGGTGTTTAAAGTGAACAGTTTGTTTGTTATGTCTTTAACTGAAGTCAGTAAAACCATCAACGTTCAGTTCTGTCATTTTCTCTTTGAGCTGCTGCTCTTTGCTGAGACCCTCACAATATTAGGACCCCCCGGGTCCAGGAATGTGACAGGTCTGATACTGAGACTAACAGATCACAGAAATCCTAGTTTAAAAACGTTTGGACCTGCTTTACTGAATGTGGTGCTTTTTATAAATTTTCACTTTGCAACAGATTTTTGAGGTTCAAGATACAGATAAACATCAGAAATGTTGATGCGTGGACTCTTCTCAAAAATCTGACTTTATTCTCAGATTAAAGTCAAAATTCAGACATTTTTCCTAAAAAAATCAGACTTAAGTCTCAGAATTCTGAGAATTTTTTTAATTCTGATTTTTTTCCTCAAATTTTTTACTTTAATTTCCGAGTTTTGACTTTAATCTAGAAATTCAGACTTTTTTCCTCAACATTTTAACTTTACTCTCAGAATTCTGAAATTTAAGTCAGAACTAGAAAAATATTTTTTGCTCTGCTCCTCCTCTGTATTAGTGACACTTGCATTTAATCTACTTAAAGATATATATTTTTAATTTTGCCTGTGGACGTCTGAACAGATCCCCTGAGATAAAAACTGCATTGATTTCTTTTTTGTCTTTTATTTCAGAATTTTTATTCATCATACAACGCAGAGACTTTAACCCTTGAGTCGCCACCTTGAGGTCTTCAAAATAACAATCTGTTTCCAGCTGTGGGCCGTGAGGATGGCGGGCTCTCTTTGGTTTTCATTAGACTCAGTTGCAATACACGTTCTCACCACTAGGAGCGATAGTGCGCCACTTAGATATTTAACAAATTTTTAAATATGTAGAAGTAAAACTTAGCCTGCCGCTAACAAAAGTTCAAGAAATAAAAACATCTTTTAAACAAAAAATAAAGAAAATCTGCCAAAAGACCAAAATATTTCATAAATATAATTCAGAGTTAATCAAACATGGTTAGCTACAGGACTAGTCGGTGGGTCGGGGTCGACTTCTGGACCTCCTGGAAAAGGCTGGAGCAGCGGCAGGTTTTGATCCATGGTGGACATCAAAGGGTTCAGGGTAGTTCTGGGTCTGATCTTACCTCCACGCTGTTGTGGGTGGGTGAGGACGAGGTAGACGAGTTCTCGGGTCTCCTGCACGACGACGACACGGAGCTGAGCTCAACACTGCGAACTCGCTGAGCAAACTTCAGCGAGCACACCGACTCGCTCATGTTGCCAGGCAGCGGGGATATCTGCAGAGACAGCAGGCGTCAGAGGACAGCGGGGAGGGGGACGAAGACGAGGCCCTGGACTCCACCTGGTCTCACCTGCACCATCATCAGCGTCTTGCTGTCCCCGCTCAGCGAGTCCTGCAGCAGGTAGGTGAGGCGCGAGTTCCTGAACGGGACGTGGGGCTGCTTGCTGCGCAGAGCGCTGATGACGTCGCCGAGTGCAGACAGAGACTTGTTGATGCACTGAGCCTCTCTGAGCCGGCTGCCCTCCGCTCCGGACTTCCCGATCCGTTCGGAGCCCGCCAGGTCCACCAGGTTCAGCCTCCCTAAGACCGGATCACACAGAGAACCTAACTGTGGGTACACTAGTTAGAACCAGGTCCAGGGTACATTGGTTAGAACCAGGTCCAGGGTACATTGGTTAGAACCAGGTCCAGGGTACATTGGTTAGAACCAGGTCCAGGGTACATTGGTTAGAACCAGGTCCAGAGTACATTGGTTAGAACCAGATCCAAGGTACTCTGGTTAGAACCAGGTCCAGGGTACATTGGTTAGAACCAGGTCCAAGGTACTCTGGTTAGAACCAGATCCAAGGTACTCTGGTTAGAACCAGATCCAAGGTACTCTGGTTAGAACCAGGTCCAGGGTACATTGGTTAGAACCAGGTCCAGGGTACTGTGGTTGGACCCAGGTCCAGGGTACTGTGGTTGGACCCAGGTCCAGGGTACTGTGGTTGGACCCAGGTCCAGGGTACTCTGGTTAGAAACCAGGTCCAGGGTACATTGGTTAGAACCAGGTCCAGGGTACTGTGGTTGGACCTAGGTCCAGGGTACTGTGGTTAGAACCAGGTCCAGGGTGCATTGGTTAGAACCAGGTCCAGGGTGCATTGGTTAGAACCAGGTCCAGGGTACATTGGTTAGAACCAGGTCCAGGGTACTGTGGTTGGACCTAGGTCCAGGGTACTGTGGTTAGAACCAGGTCCAGGGTGCATTGGTTAGAACCAGGTCCAGGGTGCATTGGTTAGAACCAGGTCCAGGGTACATTGGTTAGAACCAGGTCCAGGGTACTGTGGTTGGACCTAGGTCCAGGGTACTGTGGTTAGAACCAGTGCATTGGTTAGAAACCAGGTCCAGGGTACTCTGGTTAGAACCAGGTCCAGGGTACACTGGTTAGAAACCAGGTCCAGGGTACACTGGTTAGAAACCAGGTCCAGGGTACTGTGGTTAGAACCAGGTCCAGGGTACTGTGGTTAGAACCAGGTCCAGGGTACACTGGTTAGAAACCAGGTGCAGGGTACTCTGGTTAGAAACCAGGTCCAGGATACTCTGGTTGGACCCAGGTCCAGGTCAGGTTGAACCAGGTCTGGAGTTTGGGTGTTAAGATGGAGGAGAACAGAACAAACCTTGTGTGGAGGTTCCAGTGGTGATGTTGGACCCAGACACTGTGATGATGAGCAGAGCGTGGGAACGGGAGCTGTGCTCGTTCAGGTTGGTGCACGCCGTCGCTCTGTTCATGTGACCCAACTCAAACACCTGAAGACAGGTAAACACATCAGGAACAGTTAAATCCTTCACTTTCCAACAACGTCAAAAACTAAATAAACTAGTATTTTTCACTGAAAGGGCTAAACAGGAAGTCCTGACCTTGTTTATGTCCTCAGGGCTCTGCACAGTGATCTCGGTCAGTCCAGGGACGTAGAGCTGTCCGCTGCCGTCAGGGTTCAGCTTTATGTCCAGCTTCTCTGTGGGGTTCTCCCTGAGCAGGTCTCTGCAGGAAAACAGACAGGTTGAGCCTGCAGACAGCACTCAGGGACGCAGAACTAAAATCACACCTGGACAGGAAATAAATATGTTGATGAATTTAAACCTAACGCAGTTTAACATGGACTGGGTCCGGGTTCGGTGCAGATCCAGATCCAGACTGGAGGCAGGACCAGAATCCAATCAGCTGAACCCAGGATCAGTTTCTCACCGCAGCGTCTCGTTGTAGATCTCCACCATGCTGACAGTGATGCTGTAGTCCCAGTCTGAAGCCTTTTCTGTCACCTCCAAGAACAGCAGGCGAAGCGCTCGCTGGTTGATGCCCGGGTTCTCGGGCACGCCCTGAAAACAGAGGGGGCGGAGTTTACAGGTGTATTTACTGACACCTGGGCTTCTTTGATCTAACTCCACCTCTACTCTTAGAATAAATCAAAGGATTCTGAAACATTTTCAACTCCTCCATGAACAAAACAAACATCCCTGATGCTCAGAGCTCCTCCTACCTCCATAGTGTAGGTTTTCCCTGAACCCGTTTGGCCGTAAGCAAAGATGCAGACGTTAAAGCCGTCGATACAAGAAGTGACCAGAGACTGGACTTCCTGGAACACCTGATGAACCAATGAGAGAAATGACGAGGTACATGTTCAGCATCATGATACTGGATACTTCTTGAACTGATAAATGGACTTAATGACACAAAGCAGATCTGCCACAGAAAAACCTGATGTTCACCTAAATGTTTTATTATTCTGAGGTTAAAAAGGGAACAAATAGATGGTAAAAGGACAGTAAACAAATCTCACATTAGCAGGAAATTTAGAAAAAATCAAAGTTGCAATTTGTAATAAAAATAGCTAAAAAGCTGAAAATACCAAAAAATAAGCTGAAAATCTACAATTAGCACAAAGAATAAATAAAATACTGCAAAAAGGTGAAGCTTGCTAAATAACCAGTAAAAAGTTGAAATATTTGCAAAAAGGTGAAGTTGTAAAAAAAAAGCTAAAATTCATTGAAATCAGCTAAAAGTAGCTCATAAGACAGAAAATGGCCAAATAGGCCTGTCACGATAACAAATTTTGCTGGGCGATTAATTGTCTCAAAATTTATTGCGATAAGCGATAATATTGCCTGGTGATCGTTTTACAACTAATAATTATACAGGTGCTGGTCATTAAATTAGAATATCATGAAAAAGTAGATTTATTTCAGTAATTC